ATTAAGGAGAATGGAACTGAGAGCAGGTGGAGAATGGGAGCAGCACAGCCCCAGGCTGTCCCACTGCTGTGTAGACACTTCACGCTACCCGTTTGCTCCCATAGTGCTGTGAGAGTTGAGAAGAATCACAGAATTGCTGTTTGGAGAAGGGGTCCTCATTCACTCAGGGCTCAAAGGCAAGGCTGCACATGGAGATGGCTGTCTAGTTCCTCTGGCTGTGGGTCTAGGCCTCCATTCCCCCAAACGCTGGGGGCCCACTGAGGACCCTCAGCCTAGGACGACAGACTCAGGAAGCAACACCATGCCTGGCAGGTAAGACTTGGAAACTTCTCCCTGAGAGTCACATGTGGGGTGCCAGAGCCGCCATGAGGAGTGCAGTGCCTCTGCTGACTACAGGTCCCATGCAGTCAGCCTGACTTCCTTGGCTGTAGGACAATGGTGCCTCCCACATCCCCTGTGTCTCCACTGGACTGACAGCGTGCGGAGAAGCTATTTTCTGGGTTGAACTGATGAAAACAACTCTGCTCCTTCACCTCTGGCTTACAGCTTGGTGATAGGGAGGCCTACTGATGGAATTCAGGGGCTCCCTGGCAAGTACTACCTTGCAGAGCCACTGGATCTGGCCAAGTCTGTCTTTGGAGTCCAATAGTCTCCTTCCTAGAGAAGCCCCCTGATGCCCCAAACCCTAATTCTAGCCAAGATATACATAAATCTACCTACCATACCTACCCTTTCTCCCAACACACCTATATCCATCTTTAGTTACCACTGCTGGGAAACAAAGCACCTAAATTCTAGTGGAATAACATCATCACCAGTTTATTGCACTCACAGCTACCGTGGACCAGAAATTCAGGAAGGGCATAGAGACCCTGTTCCATGATTTCCTGCATTTCATCAGGAGGACTCTCAGTCTCCTGAGGAATGAAAGCTGCTGGGAATCACCTGGACTCACTGACTCATGAGCAGGAGGACTCACAATGGCACTGCCACCACAGTGCCTGTGATGGGTTTCCTCACAGGATGGCGGCTTGGCAGTAGAACTTCAAACACAGTCACTCGGGGCTCCAAGAGTGAGCACCCTGGGGAACAATGATGACATCACGGGGTCTTTTCAGACTGAGCCTCACAAGCCAGCAGTCTCACCTTCGATGTCATTCTATTGGGCACGAGAGTCACGAACCCACTGAGACTAAAGAAGAGGATGTAAGCACAGATGCTGCTCCAGCCACATTTACACTCTTCTTCCTAATTTCCCATCAGGACTCAGGTGCCTGTTGCCCTCGGCCCTGCAGACCCAAATAGGGGTATGGCCTGTGCCCAGCCAGGTGAGAGAAGGAGCTGCTGCAGGAGAAGAGCACATGAGAATGGGCCTGACCCCCAGGTAGCCTCCCACCCAGGAGCCTTTGTGCTCTGTGTTTACTGAATATCCGCTCCATACTTGCCCTGGGTTCAAGGAGCCTATGCTGAATCTCATTCAAGCCTACTGGCAGCACTGGTAGCAGGATATACTGTTAACCCCCGCCCCCAAAGATTTGTTTAAGCATACAATAACTAGGGTGTAGGCCAGAGGTGGGGGAAGGGGCTGAGCAGATTCATCAGAGACAGACTTGGGAGCAGAACTGGCAGATCAACGAAGTACACTGCTGAGGGGAGCAGTGGGCGAGACAAGGGAGATCTGCTGTGCCATGTGGGTCAGCTCTGGGGCGGGGATCAACCCATGCCACAGTGGCTGGCGATTGCTTGATAGCACTGTCTTTAACCCCTATGTCACCAGGGAGGCCCAAGGATATACACTGTTATCCTTGGTGAGGTTTAAGTTTACTTGCCCAACCTCACAGCAAGATGGTAATCAGAACCTAAATCCACATTCTTAACTACAGGATAGAGGGACTTCCACCAAAGGAACTGATGAAACTGGGAGTTCTGGTCTCAGAAACAAGAACCCAGAGCTTTCTCTTAGAAGGAGAAATTTTTACACCTCCTTTGAAAAAGAAACAACCACACCCAACTATGATGTCATCTTATCTTTCCAAAGGCCCCCAAATCCCTGTGGAACTCCCAGTTCCATGGCTGGTTTTCCTGGTGTATCTCAGCCACAGACTCTACTCTTGTAAGGAGCTTCATCTGCAAACATGCGCTGCTCTGTCTACATTGCTTTTCTGTCTACACTATTTTGGGATGTCGTCCCTTGCTGGTAAGCTATCAACTCTCCCCATCTACCTCTATCAGCGAATAGATCTTTCCCCATTTGAAAGTGACCACTTAAAGCTGAAGAAACAGCCACGCTCATTAGAACTGTATGTGATGAGCACAAAGAATGCCTTCGCTAGGCCGGCTTCAGCGCCGATAGGGCAGGGCTTTCTCACAGGTCTGGAAGGACACAGCGGCTTTCACTACAAACATCAGGATTCAGGCAGGTTGCAGGTTACAGAGGAGAGAGATACTACTGTGAACAGGTCAGCAAGATGAAAAGAAAACCCACCTGGGAGTAGCCAATGATGTTCCCATTGTCATCAAGCACATTAAAGTTGATGATTGGACCGTGAACCTCCGGGCTGCTGAACTCAGAGTCACTGTAAATGCACACAACAGGGGCTCCGTTGGGGTACCGGAGAGCAGACAGGGCCGTGTAAGTGTACTGAGTCAAGGTGAAGGTGTGCTGCCTTATTTGCGCCATTCCACCTGAAAAGCAATTATGAGACATCAGTGAGAATCATGAATTTTGTGTAAAACTCCCTCGCTTATTTTTAAGAAAACAGGACCGTGATAATTGGCAAACATGGATCTTACAGTGATGATTTTAAACACATGTAAATACTGTTTTTCAATGCCCACAGATGTTAAGTCCTTGGTATTAAACAGTTTACCATTGTGGTCTCTGTGGAAGCTTCCCATAGGAATTCTTGTCATTCTCTCTCTATTTTTTTTTTTAAATAATGTTACTTAGGGCCCTCCCTGCTGGCGCAATGGGGTAGGACGCAACACTGCAAGCTGGTGGCAGCCGCTTTGGTGGGAGTTTGATCCCTGCCCTGGAGGTGACCGCATGGCATGGCAGACCTCTCCTGACCCTCCCGCTGCACCCCTCAGCAGTGTACTTTGTTAGTCTGCCTGTTCTGCTCCCAACTCTGTCTCTGGTGAAGCCTCTCACTGCCCCTGTGCCTCTGGCCTGTACCCTAGTTCTGTATGAATAAATAAATAAATCTTTTAAAATAAATAAATAATGTTACTTAAACATTCAAGTACTTTAGACCTTTTGATGGTAGATAGATAGATGTATAAAAATATCCACTGACCTGTGAGACGCTCAAGGGCATCAAATCCATGTTTAAGTGCTATCACGTCAAGGAAGGAGATGGTACCATCTTCGAACCTGCAGCCACAGGTGGGAAGAAGGTCAAAGCATGGCCAGTGTCTCCACAGGCTTTTTGAGTATGAAACCAGGTTTTGGCCTAGACTTATAGCCTATGAAGGCCTTTCCCTATTGTGCCCCCTTTCAGGACAAAGAGTTCTGCACAGACAAGCCTGCCTCCCGCCCTGATCACGCAGCATGAGCCACAGAGGTGATTAAAGGCCCTAACTGGTGTGATCACCTTGAGAAATCTTTCATTCCCTTACAGGAAGACTCTAGACTTAATAAAACCTCAAGTGCTGTGGGCGCTTGAAATGTTGCCTTTGACCACAAGAGGGCACCACCCTCATGGCAACCATTCTGCGTGATCACTGGCAGCTGCTGTGAGACTCTTAACCAGTCTACCGCGCGCTGCGCTGCCCAGGCGCCGGAGGTCACCTTGGGCTTGCGCGTGGGGCGCGCGTGAGCCTGGTCTCGCAGGCAGTAGCGCAGACCCGCCGGCAAGGACCGCGGGACGTTCTGTGGTCACTGCTTCCAGCCGTTCCTCTCTCTCCCCCAAGTTATGCTTCAGCCTGACCGACTGTGGCCATCTGTACTGCCACGCCTCTCTGGGCAAAGGTAAAAGCAACGGATGCCTGATTTGTCATACACTTTTACTTTCAAAGCGGTTGGACAAGATCATCGGGCGTGCCTCATGTACTTCCAAAGCCCATGTGCCAAATTCTCAAAGAAAAGGTTTCAGATCGTCAGCTGTTTACCCACACCTTGCCCGTCTGGAACTACACCCCTCCTCTCAGATTTCAGTTGGTCCTTTTAGCTGAATAAAATTTGACTTATCATTTTTTCCTGCCTTTCATTTATAGATGCTGTGCGCCTGTCATCCTGTTCTTGAGAATATTAAATGCTGTATCATGACACCTGGATTCAAAACGCTTTACATTAGCATTTCTGTTATAGAAAACCCATCTATGGAGAAGTCCCAAATAAAAGAGACAAGTCACCTATAACACACATTGATGCTGCCTCCCTCTTGGTCTTCACCTGTATTAGCTCTAAAGAACAGTATCCTTTTAGAAATTCACTTATTAAGAAAACAATATGTGTCCATTCCCATGGCTGCCTGCAGAGGTTCATCCCCAGGGATCCAGCTCTGGGTCTACACTCAGGGGCCATAACTCTACCACCAAGGTCATGCCCCGCTCTATAGGACCCTTGGGTCTACACTGGGTCTGTGCAGAATCCAGACCCCCCAGGCCTTCTCAGGCATCAGTAGAGTGACAAGCTCCTAGGTTAGCTGCCATTTTTATCCTCACACATGGTCATATGACCCAGAGGATTTCTGGGCATGACCCACACAACCTGTCCCTGCAACCTGAGGAAGACACACAAACACAAGCAGAAGCCTGAGTTCTTTGAGGGCCAACAGCTGCCTACCCTCCAACTCCCTGTGTAACTCAGAGACTGCTATTAAGAATGTCCTACACGCAGGGGTGGATGAGCACAAAAGACGAGGATGATAGTGCACTGGGGAACGGTGTGGGGATTTCACAGGGAAACCATACATTGTACAAAAATGAAGGATGATGTAAGGAATATATTAAATACTTTTTAAAATGTCCTACCTGTCTTGTGGTCTCTAGTTTAATTGCTTCTTCTTGCTTGCTAACTAGGTGCCAGCATGAGCTGAAGAGACAGCTGTGTTATCAACATGTGTAAAACTTGTTCCAAATGGCACCATCTTTAAAAATCACCACTTTATAGATGGCTGGATTAAAAAGATGTGGTCCATAGACACGTGGCATATTACTCAGCAATCAAAAAAGATAAACTCATGCCTTTCACAGCAACATGAATGGAGCTGGAGGGGATCATACTTAGTGAAATAAACCAGGAAGAAAAATAAAAATACCAGATGGTTTCACTCATAGAAGACTCATAGCAGGGGCATAAAGGACCAGGGGGCGGAGGGGGGGGGGGCGGTAAAACAATAATAATAGTAATAATGGATTATCTCTTTCATACCAGACAGTTTACTGGAGTGGAGTGGGAAATGGGATCAAAACTGGGGGGGCGGGGGGGAGAAGTGCATTGGACTGTGATGATGGCACACACAACGGGTGACTTGGTGATGGGAAGTCCATGGGGATTACAACTGAGGTGGGAAAAGGCACAAAATGATGTAAAAATAAACTATTATGTTATTAAAATAAGTAAATATAAATAATTAATTTTTTTTAAAACACCACTTAATTCCTGCTACTTCCTGTCAGTGCTGTGGGCAAAGGCCTGGTGGCCCACCCTCCTTACTCCCTTCAGGCTTTTTACCTCCCCTCATTACAGCCCTTATCTACAGGCCCGCGTCCTCCACGGCTGTGGAGAAGGGGGTCAAAGTTCACTGCACCATGGCTGGCGCGCCTCAGCCGATCTCGGCCTTCAGATCTCAGCCGTGCCGCCGCCTCCTGCCCTGACCTTGGAGCCCAGCCCAGCCCTTGCACCATCCAACAAGTGACACATGTCAGCCCCTCCCACCCCAAGTTACCTTTCGGTCACCGACTGTCTTGGGATATAGAAGTCCTCTCCTACCAGGTACGCAGCAGCTGTGCCTCCTCCAAAGTAGGATTTCCTCAGCAGAGAAGCTATCTGGTTATTCACCAGCAAAGCGCCCAGGCCGGTGGGGAAGCCAAAGATCTTGTAGAAGGAGATGGGGACAAAGTCGGCCCGGTGAGCCGACAGGTCCAAGGGCGAGGTGCTCACATAGGAGGCCGCGTCCAGCAGCACCAACCACTTCCCAGGGGCACTGGCAGGGCACATCCGCCCCGCCTTGACCTCTCCTATCCAGGACAGGGGATATCTGGTTCCAGAAAAGTTACTTTGAGCTGGGTAACAGAAGAGATGTGGAACTTGGCAGTCAGGGTCCCCGGCGGCCACACCCCGTTTCTCTGCCAAACACATTTCCTCCAGGCTGACCGGGGTGGAATTGACGCCCCTGGCTCTGGCGACCTCTCTCATGCCCACCACAGAGGTGTGGCTGTCGGTGAGGTAACAGAACCGACTCCCGCTGTTGTCTGGACCACTGGACACCCACGGGAAGGCCTCTGCCACCAGCTTGAGAGCAGCCGTGGCCCCAGATGTGAAGATCACACTGTAGTCCTCTGGGGTGGTGTGGAAGTGAGCCAGGATCCTGGAAGAAGCACAGATCATGGCGACTATTTGGACTCGGTCCAGAGCTACATGGGTGGAAGCAGTTGTATTTCCACTAAATGTGTCAGCTGTCTAGCTGTGAATTTAGGAGAAAATCAAGGTAGACTTTACCACAATGATGAAGTTAGGTCAGGGACAGAAGGAAATCACCTTGTCTGCCAGGTCCCTGACTCCATCTGGGGAAGACAAAACTCCACATAGCCTAATTTTAGCTGCGAACACCTTTCCTCAGTCTGCTCTCTGGCTCTATCCTAACAGATGCTGTTGGCAGCTTGTTCACATGGCTTTGAATGTTCACAGCCTATGGCAAAACAGGACCACTTCCAAACTGGAAATGATTTGTAACTGTATCAACTTAAGAAACTTCAGGTATCCCCTACAAATTATTTGCCAAAATGAATTATTCCATGTGATAAAATGTAAAGGGCTATTCACATGCAGACATCAGTAAAGAGGAGGGAGATGAGTAACACAAGAGGCCTAGTGAAACATAGAAAGACAAACCAGAAGAACTGCTTTCCTCCTTTCTGAAAACAAGACTTAAGAAGCTGGTCGGTCTTGTCATGCCGGCCCCAGGAGGTCCTGCACAGGTCCTGAGTCATAGCTGTTGTGCACACCTACCTGTGCTACCCTGCTCTGCTCCTACTCATGCTCACCTGCCTGTCTTCCACCCCTGACGTTTGCCATTGTGAATGCGAGGCCACTGAGCTGCATGGACCTTCCAGGAACCAGCTAAAAATGTCCATGGAATGCAGGCGGTGGGAGAAGGAAATCCACCCACCTAGGAGCCCCACGAGACCTGCTCCTGCCCTCACCTGTAGCGCACCTGCTCCACCGTGTCGTGGGTGAGCTTGCTGCTGATGTTCTGGCTGTGGGGATTACCTGCCAGGTGACAGAGATAGAGCTGTTGAGTAAGTCCTTATAGTCTCTCCTGCCTTAGTCTCTCCCTCTCTTCTCCAGAGCCCTCTCTCCCATTCCTCAAAAAGTTAAGTGTAAAATGACCATAAGACCCAGCAATACCACTCTTGGCTATATACTCAAAAGATATGAAAACATACCCACACAGGATTTGTGCTTGTGAATGTTGGTAACATTTTTGTTTGTAAGCCGAATTCTGGGAACAATATAAATATCCATCAATGCTTGAACAGATAAACAAAATGTGGTACATGCTTACCTGGAAAATTACTCCTCAATAAAAAGGAATAAACAACTATGTCATAAACAAAACTCAAAAACATGCTAATGAAAGATGCCAGATGCAAAAGGTCACATGTGATTCCAGTTATATGAAATGTAGAGCAGAGGCAAATGGAGAGAGAGAGAGAGAAAATAGTAAATCCATGTTTGCCTGGGGCTGCTGTAGCAAGAGGGATTGATTGTTACCTGGCATCAGAGATCTTACTAGAATAAGTGTTCTGATAGAGTAATAGCAATGGCTGCACCACTTAGTAAAAATTAATGAATTCTACATTTGAGGTGAATTTTATGATATGTAAAATATCAACCAATAAAGCTTCTAAATAAACAAAAGAAACCCTTTGCTTATTAGTAAAACAAGATGGGACCTGATACCATTTCTGGGAATGGAAGTTGACCCAGAGGCAGCTAGATCAATTTCCAGACCCTTCTGTACAAGATGCCTGACAGGTGGCCAGGTGGGCCCTCTTATGAACTCCGGGGAGTCAGGTACACAACCTCAAAAGGCTGCCCCTTCCCTGACCGTGGGAGCTGTTAACAGGACTTAGCTGAAGTCCCCATCTGTCGGCTATGTTCATGACTTTGCTGCTCTCACTGCTCCTGCAGAAACACATTTCTGTCCTCCTCCAAACATGTGGCAGGGGCCACTCATTCCTTTAGCTTCCCATTCTCAAGGCTGAAGGCTCTTCCTTGTCAATTGCTAGGTGTTCTGCCCTCCTGGCCCCGCAGTGTGTCCCTGAGCATCTGCCTCAAAACTCAGGCCTCACAAGTGAACACAGACCTCTCAAGGACCTGACCAGCTCAGGCTGGGCACCAGCATTCTCAGGAGCAGGACCACATGTGCATATTAACGTGGTCTTGGCCTTTTTGTTGTAAGATTTTTTTTTTTCTTTAAACCACACTGTAGGGACACATTGATGCCTGCTCATTAAAGTTACCAGTGTGCTGGACCCTCTTTGGTAGTGCAGTGAGTTAAAGCACAGCACTAAGAAGCTAAAGCCACTTCACCATAAATTCGATCCCCACCCTGGAGGTGACCCACATGGCGTGGCAGACCTCTCGTGACCCACCCACTGCTCCCCTCAGCAGTGTACTTTGTCAGTAGACCTGTTCTGCTCTCCATTCTGTCTCTGGTGAGTCTTCTCACCACCCTGCACCTCTGGCCTGTACTCCAGAAAAAAAAAAAAAGTTACCAGTGTGCTTTGCCACAATAGCTAGCAAGCTGTGGATCACTGCTTATCCCATTGCCACCTCCAGTCTCCAATTATCTCTCAGACCAGTACATGTTCCATGGTTATGGCTCTTGCAAAGGCTAGAGAACGGGAATTGCAGGTCTCTTTGCAAATCACAGATTAAAATCAAGAAAAACGTCAATACTGGTATCTTCCTGGAGACAGTTCCCCAGATTAAAATATCTGCTGGCTGCTCAAAGCCTTAGTGTGGCTTTCTGGGTCTGCATGGTCTTCATGAACAGAGATGCCTGCCTGGGGCTCAGGACCAGCACTTGGAGCCCAGCTCCTGGGTCTGGCCTGCTCCAATACTTCCTGACAGCCTGGCCTCAGGTTAGTTACCTGTATTCCCAGGGGCCCCCCTTCCCTTCCTGTATAACAGGATGATGGCAAAACCTATCTGTGAGCTTGTCAGATACAGAAACTCTATCTTGGCTTGCCTTGAGCATGGGAACATTTCCTGATGTCATTTATTGCTATTAACCTTATCTGCCTTCACTATTGATGCTCTTATTTGAAACTGCCTTTCCAAGGTTATCTCCTGATCATACTACCTGCTGGTTAGTGCCATCAATGACTGTCTACCTGTCTAGAATCAAGTTCCAACTCCACAGAATGCCTACAATGCCCCTGCCTTACTCTCCACTTTGGATTCCCCTTCCTCTCTGTTCTTCGGTCGGATCTTGAAACCACTACAGGGTCTTGGCACATGCTATTCCCTCTTTTCTGGAATGTTCTTCACCTCCTCTTTTCCAAGTGAATCCATGCCCAGCCTGGATATCCCATGCCTAAGGGAACTTGCCTGATACTCTGTGGATACAGATCTCCTGAGCCCATAACCCTTTTGTTCACAGCCATTAAAGAGGGTGTAGCCTACATTTATTTGGACATCACTCAATTAGGGTCTTATCTTGACTAAACCATAGTCCACGAGCACAGGGACTGTGTCTACTTTGTTCCCATCACAGAGGTGTGCACCCCACACCAGAGTGGCTTCACAGACATTTATGGAGTGAGCAAATGAATGAATGCTCCTCCTGTAGCCCCACTTTCTCCACCCACAGGGTCAACCTACCACCCAAGACATCACCTTTGTACCTGACATTGATCCCTTCTGCTGGAAGTTTCCTGTGTGGCCCTAAGCCAGCTATCCCCTCCTGGCAGCACAAGTATTACATAGAATGACCCCTCTAGGTGTTTACCTGACCCTTTCCCTCCCTTAGGGACTTTTCAGCACAGACACAGTCTATTAGTTCAACATTTATTAAGCATAGATATATCCACTGAAAATTACTGGCTAATGTTTAATGAAAAAAAAAAAGTCAGTTATGGTGTGCTTTTCTTTACCATAAATGTTTCCAATGAGATCATTTGTGAAGCTGGTGAGCTGGCTCTGGGGGAACAAGGTGGCTCCTGCATGGTCAAGGTAGACAGTTCCTATAAGGCAATATGACACAGCGCTGCGGTTATTTAACAACAGATATTCCACTCTTTTCACCTACATCTGTTTGTATCACACTGAGTGCCCATCTGATGCATAAGACTTAACAAGAGGCCACTGATTTCCCCAGCACCTTGATCTGTGCTTGCTAATCAAGTGTAGATATGAACAATGGATGAACTTCATTGAAGCACTTAATGACCTGTCAAGCCCTAAGAGAACCTTCCTGATTCAGCTCTCTTGGCTATCTCTCAGTTAGTTCTGCCAACAGACCTTCCTATGGTTTTAATTCTTTTTGATCCTTTAGAAATTGTTTAATTTTCAGGTGTTTATTTCTAGTGTATATAAATTGAATAGGTATTTGTATATTGATCTCATAGTCTATGCCCAGTTGAACTTGTTTCTTAGTTCTAACAGTTTTGTCTATGAGCATTTTTTTTTAAAACAAGATTGTGTTTTAGCAAGTATAGTTTTACTTCTTCCTTTCCAATCTGGATGCTTTTTGTTCATTTATTTGCCCTGGCTAGAACTGCTATATAATGACCAGCATGAACAGTTGACTAGAATGAACAGATATCTTTGTCTTGTTCCCCATTTTAGGGGTAAAGCTTTCAGTCTTACACCATTCAATATAGTATTAGTTGTGGGGTTTTTTGTAGATGCCCTTTATCAAGTTGATTATTTCCTTTTACTCTTCACTTACAAAGTGGTTCTGCATTCTATAAATATTTATTGAGTGCCAGCAGGAATATAAAGGACCAGGGGAGAAAATAATAATAATAATAATAATAATAATAATAATAATAATAATAATAATAATAATAATAATAATGAACTACATACAAGAGACATTTTACAGGGGTAGAGTGGGGATGGGATCAAAAATGGGGTGAAGGGCAGTGTACTGGACTATGGTGATGGCACACGGGTGATTTGGTGATGGGAAGCCCGCAGGGATTACAATTGAGACGGAAAAGGCACAAAATGGTGTAAAAATAAACTATTATATTATTTTTGAAAATATATTTATTGAGTGCTTACCATGCACCAGGAGCTGTTGCAAGTGCTAGAAGCACAATGACAGACAAAATAGAAACTTATATAAGTGTTAGAGAAAGACTATAAACAAATCAATATAAACTATGTCAGGTGGTAAGAAATCTTATGGCTCAGTTGTATAAAAATAAAAGCATGCACACTGGTGTGCATAACTACAGACAGCCACTGGTTTATGGCAAATAAGATATGAGTGGCAACAGTTGATTCTGGGTGGGCCAGGCTGGCTGTGAGTGAAGCAAGAAAGAGCTCCTTGGCCATTTTTAACCTTCCTTTGGCACCTTTTGGATGTGGTAGCATGTAAATATACCCAGTTAAAAAAATTAGTATTACATTAATGTTGTCTTCTACTGGAGGTTTAGAAATACCAAGAAACCAAACCAAAATATGTCAGGAAGATGCCCAAGGTAAAGCCCAAGTGCTGCTGTGGAAAGTGAGGGGTTCAGAGGCACATCTGAACTGGGCCCATGGTCTTTCTTTCACAAGGCCAGAAAGCTATCTGGGAGAAGGCTGCTTTGGCCTTTCAGCTAATAGCTAATTAGGCAGAGGGGGTGGGCAGGGGGAAGCAAGTCATATTAGGAGGTCAGCCAGCATAGTGGTTTACAATGCAGAATCCAAGTTTGCCAAACTGCATGGACTGGCCTCGCCGCTAGCCAGTGGATTCCTTCACCTGCAAAAGGGATGAGGCTTAAATTGGTTGGTAGATGACAGCGCCTAGTTCAGTGCCTGTCATACAGAACACATTCCACAAAGTTATTAAAAGTTATTAGAGCAGGCAAACAGCCCCCAAACCAATGGGCATTATATTTTTAAGAAGGAAAATTCCAAGTTCTCTTCAGTTCTCGGCTCCATTCAGGGTGACAGGCCATCAATAGGTACCTCAAAGCTTCAATAGTCCCCTGAAACACATCTGTACATCCAAGATGCTTCTTTCTTCAGAACAAGAAGATTCTAACCCAACCGGTTTGTGAAAATATTTCAGCACTTAAAGATTAAAGATTAAGTATTTAACTACCCAGAGCTAACAATTAACCAACTTCTCAAATGTGCAAAGACTATGTTTATGTGTATGTTGGGGGTAGGGGGAAAGAGGGAGGAGGTGGATAAGAAAGTGGTAAAGTGAAGCTTATGTTATTTTGGCAGCCCTGTAAGAATAAAAATTTTTTAAAGATGTCCCAAGGCTCCCAGCAGTGGGAAGGTAGTTTAGTTTACAAAAATCTGCTTCAGCTATCATATATAGGAAATGCTGGGAACTTGCAAATAAATTAACAAATACATGCAGATATCACTTCTGAGGGACGTGTCATTGGGTGATTTCATCATTTTGGGAACACCATAGGGTATACTTACCCAAACCTAGGGGCCAGGGCCTGCTGTTATTGAAGGAAAGGTCCTTCTCTTCCCTATGTACAAAGGGAAGCATGCAACACTGTCCCCAAAACAGCAGGTGTTAAAGGGGCTTTGAAGGCTAATCCAGGGACCCTAGCTATCCCTTCCAGATTTTGCATTCGAAGGGAAAAGCACTGTTCTCCCAGAAGGGACAAGCAGGGGCCCAGGGCACTGCCACTTTTCCAGGGTGGTGATGAGGAATGAGGTCAGCCAATGACAGGTGTGAGGGATCAGATTTGGAATGGATTAGGAGGTTAAGGAGGTGCGGTGTTCAAATACCTAATGAATGAGTTATTTGCCCTGGGATCCTCTGAGATTTGTTTAGAAAGAATGGTGATGGTGCAGAATGCCTCAGCATCTGTGGCTGTGCATTGTATGGGTCTAGTTCTGAGTAAAATGTCCACAATAAAATCAGCGAGTTTTCCATAAGACAAGGTTTTCATAATAAAGGTGTTGGGTAAGAGAGCTCCAAGATGGAAGCCGAGGGAAGGAGACTATCTCCCGCAGGTGAAAGTGACATTTTGTTGGAAGAAAAGAGGCCTCCAGAAAGTCCCTGGTCTCACTCATGAATTTAAGTACAGAAGGAGGACATATCCTTCAAGGCCCCTCGAGGAAAATATAGTCACTGTGTGAAAGAAGGAAATGGTCCAAAGAACTAGTATCAACTACTTGATTTGATGAAAGGTAGATCAGAAGAAAAAAAGAAAGAAAGAAAAAGAAAAGAAAGATCAGGGCTGCAATTCTGCTACAGGCAGCAGAAGGGTCATTAGTTGTTCATCACAGAATAAACACCTCAAATCCTGCCCACTTCACCCTACTCAGCCTGCACAGTTCTCAGGCTGAAGGAAGCACCTCAGCTAAAGTCACTGCCCAAAGCGGATAGTGCCCGCCTAGTGTATGGAGGAAGTAGCCTGGATCCTGACCCCCAGCCCTCCTCCGCACCCGCCGGACAGTAGTGTGACCACCAAAGGACCAGGCAGATTTTGACTTCCAATTGAACTTGTCTGTTCCGCCTTGCAGAATTCGAAGGCGGGAGGTGCGTTTTACATGTTAGTCCTGTACTTAAGCTCAAAGTGCATGTCTTGCTAATCAAGTTCCCTAGCGAACTTAGAGATCAGAGGCATGTTTATGACTTCAACAGCGCTTCGAAAGTAAAAGCTGCTGGAGAGTGGACTGGAGCTCAGCCTCTGGGGGCCGCCGGCTGCGCAGCCCCAATTCCCGGCGGGACACCCCGGCTGGCGCTCCAACCCTCCCCCCCCCGCCCCCCCCCCCCCCTCCACAGGCGGCCCACACACGGCTCCCATCCCGGCAAGGGCCCAACAACAGTCACGGTCGCTGGACGTGTCTACGTTTTGCAACCCCGGCTCTAATCGGGACCTTAAAGGTCCAGAAAGAGTCAGGAGTCTGGAGGTAAACGAAGGCGAAAAGCATCCTGAGCGAAGACAAGTGACAAAAGATTACGCTGGCCCTGCACTGCTGGAACGTCTAAGGACCGAGAGTAGCAAGAAAGAAGGCTTAGAGCTGCTGCTGGGACCTCAGGGAGCTGCGCCCACTAAGGACGCATTGCCACATCCTTCCAGATCTTTCCATTCAAAATGCGTCCCAAATGAGGTAACGCCGCTCCCGCCAGGCGCACCATCTCCTTCCACTTGGCTTCCAGGAACCGCCGCCCCTCCCGGCCCACGCAGGTGTCCCGCCTGCCTCACCTGCCAGGCGGCCGAATTCGCGCGCCCGCAGCTCGCTCAGGCTGCGCTGGCCGTAGCCATAAGTGAGCTGCCCAGCACTGGAATCCAGGAACCGCGCGAAGCTCAAGAGCTCGGCGCCCGACTGCGCTGCCTCGCCGGCCATGACCCAGGCCAGTCCCGTCCGCCGCGCGGTCCAGGACGGCGGGATCCAGAGAGCTGCCTGGCCCGCTCCTGGCGACTCCGCCCCCGCCGCGCCCGGGTCGTTCCTCCCCGCTGGCCAGTGGCACAGGCCCGCGGCTGAGGGGCGGCGCCTCCCAGGACGTGCCGGCCTTGCCCCCGGCACCCTGACTCGAGGAGTTTCGCTTCTTCCCAGCCTTTTACCCGCCGGGGGTGGAAAGCTCGGAGGAGGGAGGAGGGCTCGTCGGTGTCGTCTCTGAAATGCTTCCGGACGGGACCCACGGAGACGCCTCCGCCACTTGGAGCACAAACTTCGCGCTGAGACGCGGGTGGAAGAAGCAACTAGTTGCCTTTTCCCGCGTCGCAGCCTAGAACTAACGTGCCCACACTGCGCACCCGAATCTCCCGGGGCCGCAGCCCCGCACCGCGCCCGCGCGCTCGCCTCAGAGGTGGGACTCGCGCTGGCGGTGCGCGGCGTTTGGGTGAGGCTTCTCCGCCTGTGGCTCCCGGGTGTGTGGGAACTGCCGAGAATGTAGCTAAGCAAAGGGTGGAAAGGAGGAAAGATTCGGGATCCACCAGGCTGAACACCGAGGGGGCCCGCGGGCCCTGGGCGGCCAGCACGCTAGCGCCGCCTCTCCTGCGCCCTCGGGCCTGCATCCTGGGTGCTGGGGTTAGAGCTACACACTGTTTCACCGCCCTGCTACAGGCCAGCCCCCGCGTGCGGAAAGTGCGAGGCTGGGTTGAGGGCTGTAGAGCAAGTGTGCTAAGTGGGGGCCCGGGTTCCCAGCAGAGACGTCAGGGGCGCTTTCAGGGGCCGGGCAGGGTTCGGTAGGTACAGTGAAAGGGCTCCAGACACTGTCCCAGGCCAGGTACCTGGTGGAGAACCAAAACTGGCGGAACCCAGTTTGGAACCTCTTGCGGAAAAGGGCAAGTGTTGGGACCTGGGTGACGGGACGCAGATTCTGTCCCAGTAGAGAATTCCAAGGCGGGAGTCCAGGAACGGACCACTGGCTCTGGAAGTATATTGCGGCGGTGGCACCGCATGGGTGTGTCTTAGGCCGCAAAAGGCCTGAAGGCATCTTGGAATGCGTGATGATGGTGTGTGCAGACGCCCACCTTCTGCCTGTATAAAAAGCAATCCAAGGGGCGCCCCCTGGTGGATCAGTGTTGGAGCTCTAAGTGGGTAGTGAACAGCCTTGCCCCCTCCAGAAACATCCCACAAATACCACATTTGAAAAAAAGAAAATACCCAGGCTGGTGGATGGTGGGTTGGTGGGTCAAGGCAACCCTGACCCAAGATGACAGGTTCCCAAACTGCAATGCTTAAATAGCCGCCCACCAAGTCACCTACATGCCTCAGTGGCCACTGCGGGAAACCAACCCAGTTTTTTCCCTCACTGTAGAACTCCAGAGATTTTATTCAACAGACATTCGTACTTGTTCTGGAAGGACTGAATGTGTTGATAAGTAAAAGTATGCATTTGCTCTCTGGCATCACCACCCACCCAAATTCCGTCCTACATACCTTCTGGCTTTAGGGAAGGAACCTTGAAGACTGATGCCAGAGTGACCCCTCTCCACTGCAGTCCCTCCTGTAAATCTAACTTTGGGCAACAGAGAGAGCTGGCATTATGGACCCCTTAATGTGTGCCAGACACCATACTGGGAGCTGCATACTCTTTCTTACCTGTACTCGTAACTCAACAATTAAGCAGCTCTAGGTGACTTACAGGTGGGGAAGTGGACAAAGACAAATAACTTGCTGAAGAGCACCCAGAAATGGCTGAGTTAGCATTTGGGAAGTTAATGTCCAGAGCCTTGCCAGTTGTGTGGTCAGTAACCTCTCTGGTGTGAGCCAGGGTGGGTCTCGGCTTCCCCTTCTCTAAGATGGGGGACAGTTGCTTGGTCCTCCCAGCAACTGTACTGTGTGCCCTCCACCCCTCTTGCTAATTCCCTTCTTCCCAGTGAAAACCTCCAAGTCAGTTCTTTTAGGCATTCTTTTGCATAAATCACCTGAAAGCCTATTAAAATATATACTGACTCTAACTTGGGGGTGAGTGGTCTGGAGAACATATACTTAGTACAGATGCTGGCATCTGCTCTGAAGGACTGAGGACTTAGGCATGTCCCTGGGGTTTGAGGGGTAACTCTTCTTAAGGTTCTGTGGGGCCAAGGGACAAACCCCAAATCCATAGCAATGCTACTTTACGACCAGCTTGCCTAGAGAACAACCTGTATGGTCAAGTCCAGAACTCCTTATTAACATCACATAAAACATCCTCTTTGCCATTTTCAAGTGCACACTTTAGTGTTAAGAACATTGTCATTGTTGTGCAGTCAATCTGCAAAATCTGAAATTCTGTGTCCATTAAATAACTCCTTTTCTTTTTCACCCAACCCCTGGCATAAACCATTGAGTTTGGATTCTAGGCATTTCAAGGACAATCATACAAATCTTTCTTGTGACTAGCTTATTTTACTTTGCACAGTGTCCTCAAGATTCATCCATGTTGTAATATGTCAGACTATCCTTTATTTTTAAGTGGGAGTAATACTCCATTGTATGTATGTATCATATTTTGTTTATTCATTCATCTTTGGGTGATCCATCTCTGAGAAAAGTGCTACAAAGAATGAACATCTTGGAGACCCAGCTTTCAATTCTTTGTGGTAGAAAAACAGATCTGAGGTTGTGGTATTCTATGGTAATTTTAATTTTTGAGAAACTGTCAATGTTTTCCTTGACACCATTGTACATTCCAAGGTACACGAGTTCATTTCTCCCAACACCTAGTTTTTTCGATGGTAGATATCCTACTAGGTATCAGATGCATTTCATTGTGGTTTTGATTTCCATCTCCCTAGTTATTAATAATGTTAAGCACCTTTGAATATGCTTATTGGTCATTTGTAGGATTTTTTGGAGAAATGTCTATAGTCCTTTGCCCACTTTTTAAAGGGTATTTGTTTTTATTGTGGATATTAACCACTTACCAAATACACGATTAGCAATACTTTCTCCCAATCTGTAAGTTTATTTTTCACTCTATGACCTTTGACATACAGTACAGATCTCAATGATTTATTAAAAACCTCTACACTACCAAGTCAATAAATATATTTAAGTCCCAGCTCTGCCCAGGGAACTGTATGCTCAAGAGGATGTCACAGTATTGTGCCTACAGCTAAACAGGGAAGTGGCAAAAGGCGATGGGGGCTGGGTAGCTCTGGCTGCTTCAAAGATGCAGGTGTGAAATTACAGAAGAGAGGGCAAGTAAGTGCTACTGCCAGCCAGGGTGTCAGGAAAGGCACCACAATGGAGGAAGTCTGTGCTTGGACCATAGCAATGAGCCTCTGAAAGGAGAGTGATGGTGTATGTGGGGAAACCGCAAGCCTCACTCCTAACTGGCAACCTTAAGTGCATTGCACCAAGACTTCCTGAGCCCTGCTGCTGGCACTGAGACCTAGAGGATCATGAGTTGGTCCCAAGTAGTCAGCTGCTGCACCCTTTACTGCTTTGTAGGGAAACAGCATTTCAGCCTATGTTAGCCCTTCTGAGAATCAGGAAAAACACTTCCAACAGACTGAGCACAGAGGAGACAGCCCTTAATTTGTATTCATAATTCCTCCTTACTAAGATTATGCCCCTGGCCCAACTCCTGAGCCTGGTTCCCTAGTTGTGAAACTGTGCTGTCCTGGCAGAGGGCTCTTTGCAAGATCCTCCTTTGTACACAAGACATTCATTCATGTATTCTCCCATTCGTTCACTCATGGCTAACTTTGACGGAGTCTCTCAGAGGTGTGGGTAGCAAGGATTGCAATAATGGTAGATCAAATATCTGGCCAAGTTGTTGAAATAGGGGATGGTACTTCAGAGAAAGTTTGGATAATGAAGTTAACAGTACTTCCTGTTAGACTAGTAAAGTCAGAAGAGGGCGTGAAGAGACAGTGAGGCAGCTTTCTCTCCAAAGTCTGGCAGAAAAGAAGCTTGAGGGCAGTGGAAAGAATGATCAGAAACCCCAGGAAGTTCCCACCCCTACAGTGATAGGAGCTCTTTACTGTGAATAGAAGCTAAAAGGGCAGCTCAGAATCACAATGTGGCTGGGAACAAGGCTCCATTATATCTATAGCCATAAAGTTCAAACCAAAACAGAAAAAATTCTGCAGACAGAGAGGGTGGGTGGGCCACGCTCACATCAGCCTTCATAAGCCTCCCACACCCTATATTAATCTCTCTCCATCCAAATCCCCAGGCCCAGTGCTCCTGGCTCATCTCCCAAACCACAGCCGGCACACCCAACATTCTATTTCCAGCACCTACTTCATTCCTCTGCTTCCCTACTCATTCTCCCTGGAGGACTTTACTGATTTGTTTATATGACTTCTTATATACTCTTATGATTCCAAACTTTACTTTTCAGCCCCATCATCCATAGGTTTAAAATGTCAGATTATTCTACTTTCAATCAAGCCCTAAAAGAATTTCCATACTTTTAAAGAACAGGACTGACTACAGTTTAAAATCACTCCACTTGCCAAATTCCTGGAATGGTTGTGCATTCTGGGAAGAAAGGGTCAAAAGACCCATTTGTGTGGTCCATTTATTTACCAAAGCTGTTAAAACAAAAAGTGCATAAAGCAAATTTTACCTCTTTATTTTTTATATCCTCTCTCTGAAGTTCGTAATATGTGACGAAATGTCCAAAGAGGGGCATATGAAAAGACCCAGACCACAAAATTGGGCAAATTCAGTTATGAAAAAGAACAGCAGTTCTTAAATCAGGGCCACACGATGCATGTGTGAATCCCTGAAAGCATGGGGAAAGTTTTGAGAAAACGGTCTGTACCTCTAATCAAAGGATGATGACCCAAGTAAGTACTGCTGCCACAGAACACAGAAATAAAACTCAACGAGATAAAAAGGTATGAGGTAAAGAACGGCTATCTATTTACATGATAAATACCTGAAGACCACCAATGATTACTACA